CGCATCAGCATAGATCTACCTTTGGACAGTTTAACCCGTAAACGATCCAAACGTATATATATGTTCTTTCGCCCATTGCCCCGAACATTTTGAAAATTAAAAAAATCATTTTTTATGGAAATAAAGAGAACATTTTTCTAAGTGTTATAAGATAAAAAAAAACAAATAGGGTCAGTACTTACCTAGATATGATGCCGTGAAGTTGGCTCTGGATGCTCACCTGATGGCAACATCGAGTCCTGCCACTTGCAGGAGTGTTGCCGATATACCTTTTTTTCTCATTTTCATATTATTATATATAATTTTTATGTTCTGACAATTACAATTTATAATAGTTCTTGTCATTTCATAACCAATCTTTGTTCTGACACTAATAGTAGGTACTGAAATTGTATTAAAATAGTCACAACCACACTGACAGGTGTCTTGAAATATATACAAAGTATTTATAGGTCTGACGTTTTTGGGTTATCGTAGGTTCTCTACACATATGCTGCTATGTATGATAATTCTATGTAACTGTATTTGTGTATACCTGAATAAACTTACTTACCCAGCAATGTTTTAGATACGTGGGAGTATGTAATAATAATAATAATAAGAATAATAATAAGAATAATAATAATAATGTAATAATAAGTTGGTTTGAAGCATGTAAAACAAGCGTCTGCCACGCCTGAATACTGCAGTCTAAGATAAGATAATATAAATGGTGACATTTATAGCATACACAGGTGCAGTGATAGGACAAGTAATAGAGGTCATTTTGATGAGCGTAGACCTGCTTTGTTTTCACTGTCTGTCAAGCTCCCTGTCTATCCATCTAGCTCTCCGTCTCAGAGAGAGCCACAAGACTGCCTCATCATGTTTACTCATTATATCTTCAAGCATTTATACCATGTTTAATTGTATTTATGTGTACCTGTGAGACAGAGATAGAGACAGAGATAGATTCAGAGAGACAGAGATAGACATCGATACAGACAGACAAACGGAGATAGAGCCAGCCAGCCATACAGTCCACTGTATACAGTGGACCCCCGCTTAACGATCACCTCCCAATGCGACCAATTATGTAAGTGCATTTATGTAAGTGCGTTTGTATGTGTATGTTTGGGGGTCTGAAATGGACTAATCTACTTCACAATATTCCTTATGGGAACAAATTCGGTCAGTATTGGCACCTGAACATACTTCTGGAATGAAAAAATATCGTTAACCGGGGGTCCACTGTATATACATTCAGGGCACTAGCGGTAAGAATGTATATATTCATTTGGAGCATTTATGGGTTAAGGGTTTATAGGCAATAGCTATATTAAGAATTTAATGTTTACAGTCATTGGCTTGATCATATCTGGACAAACACTATCTCCCCATTAAAATCAGGCATAATCACAGATAACACCACTAATCACTACCCCACCTTTCTCATAACCAACTTATGTAAATCATCCCAGGACACAAGTCAAATCACATTCTGACTGCATGATGAGTCATCAGTTAATAACTTTATTTTAGAATTGAGTAACATTGACAGGCAGAGAGAGCTAGCAGTCAACCTCAATATTGATGAATGTGTCAATATTTTTCTGCAAAAAAAACAAAAGCCTCTATAAGAGGCCTTGCCCAATAAAATCAAAGCAGATCACAGCAGAGACTAAACAGCCACTGGCTTACACCATTCTAAAATCTATCGATAAAACACATCTGTATAAAAAACAGTACAGAATGGGAGTAATAACAAAGGATCTGGCAAAATGCATCTCGTTAATTCTTACTAATCTAATAAGGAGGTCTAAAAAACTGTACGTATTATGAAAACAGATTTGATGACATAAAAGGGGATACAAAAAAGACCTGGAAAACTCTATCTGAAATTCTAGGATCTTAAAAGCTGTCTCAAAACAGAGTGATTAATTTAACGAAACCAGAAGAACCTCTCCTCCAGCCAACAGAAACTGCCAACAAACTTAATGTCTTTTCTTCAGCTGTAGGAGCAAAGCTAGCAAACAAAATCCCAAACTCAAACAGTCAGCCAAAAGATTATCTCGCTGGCAACTACCCAAATACTCCATTTCTAGCCCCAACAAACCCTACTGAAATCTTGCTCATCACCACAACACTAAAGAACAAGACAGGAGGCCTAAATAACTTACCATCACTCATATATAAAAGAGCTTCTCATGTGTTGTCACCAGTTATTGTAAGTCTTTTTAACAAATCCATTAAATCTTCCACCTTATCCATACTCAAGACAGTAAGAGTCACCCCGATCCTCAAAGGAGGTGATCCAACTGAATTGAACAACTATAGACCTATATCAAACTTGCCCCTACTATCTAAAATCCTTGAAAAATTAATTTACTAACAAGTCTAGTCCTACAACATATTCAACCCCTGTCAGTTTGAATTTAGACCAAAAAAGAGTACTAATGATGCAATTATACATTGGCACTCGAAAAAAATGAAATTCCCCTGGGACCTACAAAAGGTATTTGATACAGTTGACCATGACATATTACACCTAAAGCCTGAACATTACAAGGTCAGAGAACACTCAGTTATTTAAAATCTTATCTTAGCAATAGAAACTAATATGTATACACAAATGGCATTAATTCCACTACATAACCTGTTCTTGTTGGAGTCCCACAGGGTAGTGTCCATGGCCCACTTCTTTTTCTCATTTATATCAGTGACCTCGCAAATGCATCTAAACTCCTTAAAGCCGTTTTGTTTGCAGAAGACACTACTTATGTCTAATCTCACCAAAATCTAACTATACCAACAGACACTGCAAATGGCAAACTACTAAAAATTTCTACTTGGCTGACTACCAACAAACTTACTCACAATATAGACAAAACCTACTTCATGCTATTTAGAAACAGAGCTTCAAATGTACAGCTAAACATATTAATAAATGGTTCACCCATTTCAAGATACTCAGAGGGCAAATTTCGAGGTCTCCACCTTCACTGCAGTCTCAAATTCTAGTCCTACATACAGCAAATATCAAAAAAAGTCTCCAAAAAAGTAGGCATCCTTTCAAAGATACAGTACTATGTACCCCAAATGGCTCTTCTTGCTATTTACCACTCTCTCATATACCCTTACCTCACCTATGGTATTTGTGCATGGGGCTCGACCACAGCAAATCACCTTAAACCTTTAATAACCCAACAAAAAGCTGCTGTGTGAATGATTACATAAGAACATAAGAAAGGAGGAACACTGCAGCAGACCTGTTGGCCCATACTAGGTAGGTCCTTCACAATCCATCCCACACGTTTCGATTCTGGGACCTTGATCACTTCTGCACCAACTCCTGCACTAGACAGCACACTCCGCTGCTTTTTAAGAGCCTTTAATGGCTTTATATACACAACGTCCACACATTATTGTGCCTACTACACACACAACATTATACTCAAATATTAACCCTCTCAAACTCCTTGATAACTACAACAGAACATACAGGCATAACACAAGGCATAGATCACTCTTCGATATCCTTCGTATCCATCTCTCCCTGTGCAAAAATACTATGCACATAAAGGGCCCAAAGATCTGGAATTCATTGCCAGAACGCACTAAAGGGCCCCTGCTGTCTGCAAATCAATTTAAGGTCCTACTTAGAAATCACCTCATCATCCAAAATTAGCCAGACAAACACTATACTTAACACTTACCAGTTACTTAAGAAACTCCTAAATAATTTATGACTCTTCAACTATTTGATCATTTACTTCAAATTTAAAAGTTTTAATTTCATTATTGTAAATTAAGCTTGATGATTGCTCATTTAATCATTACTTCAAACTTAAAATTATTTCAACTACATTGTTTTAAATTGTTGTATCGTACTTTATTTTTTATATTCTATATCAAAACTGTAGTTCTTCTTTACCCAACTAATTAAAACCATATAGAGTGAGCTAATAGAATATTCAAGTTTGTTGTATTCATTGTAACTCAACTAATAACAATATTACATTGACATCACTGTTATTCCCTTATTAATCATAACTTGGTCTTAAGTTTGCCCAAAATGCTCTGCATATAAGGGGACTTTCGGCATTGTTCACCCAGTGTACAAACATGTAACATGTTTTTTTTTTTTTTTCAACAAGTCGGCCGTTTCCCACCGAGGCAGGGTGACCCAAAAAAAAGAAAGAAAATCCCCAAAAGGAAAATACTTTCATCATCATTCAACACTTTCACCACACTCACACATTATCACGGTTTTTGCAGAGGTGCTCAGAATACAACAGTCCAGAAGCTATACAGATAAAGATACACACTCTTCCCCCACTGCCAATTACCAAACCCCTCCTTTAAAGTGCAGCATTTACCTTCCCCATATTTCGAGGACTCAAGTCCGACTATATGAAAATAACCGTCTTAAAATAAATTATTATTATCCTTTCAACAACAAATCGGCCATTTTCCACCAAGGCAGGGTGGCCCAGCGAGGCAGGGTGGCCCAGCGAGGCAGGGTGGCCCACCAAGGTAGGGCGGCCCAGCGAGGCGGGGCGGCCCAGTGAGGCAGGGTGACCCAAAAAGAAAAACAAAAGTTTCTCTTTTTAACTTATGTATACAGGAGAAGAGGTTACTAGCCTCTTGCTCCCGGCATTTTAGTCGACTCTTACGACACGCATGACTTCTGGAGGAAGAATTCTGTTCCACTTCCCCATGGAGAATTATTATTATTACTACTAATTATAACACCACTACTACTACTGTTACTACTACTGCTGCTAATAAAAATAATCATCATATTAAGAATAGGAATAACAATGTTAATAAAACTAATAATAAATTCTCTCTCCCACACCACTGCTGCACTCTGGACACTGTCCTTGGACACGTGTTGTCCCTGGACACTGTCCCTGGACACTGGTTGTCACTGGACACTGATTGTTACATGTTGTCCCTGGACACGTGTTGTCCCTGGACACGTGTTGTCCTTGGGCACATGTTGTCCCTGGGCACAGTGTAGTGTGTCAGGGAGGGCAGTATGAGGGTGACAAGTGTATCAGTGCCTGGAGATACTGGTACTTCTGGCTCTTCATCCTCCTAGTCTTCCTAGGTCAAGTCTCCTTCAGCACTGCTAACTCTGTCACTGATGCCATAGTTGTGGATACCATTGGTAAGATTCTCTCTCTCTCTCTCTCTCTCTCTTACAAGTATTAGTCAGAGGGTTGAAGAAAGGTTGCTGAGGTGGTTTGGTTATTTAGAGAGGATGGAACAAAGTAGAATGATTTGGAGTGCATATAAATCTGTAGTGGAAAGAAGGCAGGGCAGGGGTCATCCTAGGAAAGGTAGGAGGGAGGGGGTAAAGGAGGTTTTGTGGATGAGGGGCTTGGACTTCCAGCAAGTGTGCATGAGTGTCTTAGATAGTGAATGGAAACGAATAGTTTTTGGGACCTGATGAGCTGTTGGAGTGTGAGCAGGGTAGTATTTTGTGAAGAGATTCAGGGAAATCAGTTAGCCAGAACTAGAGGTGGGAAGTACAATGCCTGCACTTTAACCCTTTCACTGTCAGCTCCATAATATTACAGCTTGCAAGCCAATGTCGGTCCTGTAATACTACGCCAAAATTCTAATGCCTTTATATCTGGTGGGAGAAACCTGGTAGTCCTACATATGAGAGAACGGGTCCGTGTGCTCAGTGTGCATAGTATAAAAAAAAATCCTGCAGCACGCAGTGCATAATGAGAAAAAAAATCTCCGAGGTTAAAGTTGCAAGAGAATCGAAGACTAACCCAAAAGGATTCTTTCAGGTATACAGAAGTAAGATCAGGGACAAGATAGGCCCACTCAAAAGTTCCTCGGGTCAGCTCACTGACAGTGATAAGGAAATGTGTAGAATTTTTAACACATACTTCCTCTCAGTTTTTACACATGAGGATACCAGCGATATTCCAGTAATGATAAATTATGTAGAACAGGACGATAATAAACTGTGCACGATTAGGGTCACAAGTGACATGGTCCTTAGGCAAATAGATAAATTAAAACCTAACAAATCCCCAGGCCCTGATGAACTGTATGCAAGGGTTCTAAAGGAATGTAAAGAGGAGCTTAGCACACCTTTGGCTAATCTTTTCAACATATCACTACAAACTGGCATGGTGCCAGATAAGTGGAAAATGGCAAATGTGATACCTATTTTCAAAACAGGTGACAGGTCCTTAGCTTCGAACTATAGACCAATAAGCCTAACCTCCATAGTGGGAAAATTTATGGAATCAATAATTGCCGAGGCAGTTCATAGCCACCTTGAAAAGCATAAATTAATCAACGAATCTCAGCATGGTTTTACAAAGGGGCGTTCCTGCCTTACGAATTTATTAACTTTTTTCACTAAGGTATTTGAGGAGGTAGATCATGGTAATGAATATGATATTGTGTATATGGACTTCAGTAAGGCTTTTGACAGGGTCCCACTCAGAGACTATTGAGGAAAATTAAAGCACATGGAATAGGAGGAGAAATTTTTTCCTGGATAGAGGCATGGTTGACAAATAGGCAGCAGAGTTTACATAAATGGGGAGAAATCAGAGTGGGGAAGCGTCACGAGCGGTGTTCCACAGGGGTCAGTGTTGGGCCCCCTGCTGTTCACAATCTACATAAACGACATAGATGAGGGCATAAAGAGTGACATCGGCAAGTTTGCTGATGACACCAAAATAGGCCGTCGAATTCATTCTGACGAGGACATTCGAGCACTCCAGGAAGATTTGAACAGACTGATGCAGTGGTCGGAGAAGTGGCAGATGCAGTTTAATATAGACAAATGCAAAGTTCTAAATGTTGGACCTGACAATAACCATGCCACATATAAACTAAATAATGTAGATCTTAATATTACGGATTGCGAAAAAGATTTAGGAGTTCTGGTTAGCAGTAATCTGAAACCAAGACAACAGTGCATAAGTGTTTGCAATAAAGCTAATAGAATCCTTGGCTTCATATCAAGAAGCATAAATAATAGGAGTCCTCAGGTTGTTCTTCAACTCTATACATCCTTGGTTAGGCCTCATTTAGATTATGCTGCACAGTTTTGGTCACCGTATTACAGAATGGATATAAATTCTCTGGAAAATGTACAAAGGAGGATGACAAAGTTGATCCCATGTATCAGAAACCTTCCCTATGAGGATAGACTGACGCCCTGAATCTGCACTCTCTAGAAAGACGTAGAATTAGGGGGGATATGATTGAGGTGTATAAATGGAAGACAGGAATAAATAAAGGGGATGTAAATAGTGTGCTGAAAATATCTAGCCTAGACAGGACTCGCAGCAATGGTTTTAAGTTGGAAAAATTCAGATTCAGGAAGGATATAGGAAAGTACTGGTTTGGTAATAGAGTTGTGGATGAGTGGAACAAACTCCCAAGTACCGTTATAGAGCTTTAAAAATAGGTTGGATAAATACATGAGTGGATGTGGGTGGGTGTGAGTTGGACCTGACTAACTTGTGCTACCAGGACGGTTGCCGTGTTCCTCCCTTAAGTCAATGTGACCTGACCTGACTAGGTTGGGTGCATTGGCTTAAGCCGGTAGGAGACTTGGACCTGCCTCGCATGGGCCAGTAGGCCTTCTGCAGTGTTCCTTCGTTCTTATGTTCTTATGTTCTTATGTTTGTGGTTTAAAACACCGACTTTGCAGTGTATTTTTGTATGATATTTATGGTTGTATTTTCATTTTCTTGGTCTCTTTTGATAAAATGAAACATATATTACAGAAATAGAGATGATTTCGAATGGTTTTCAGACAAAAAGTATCTTAAAATTGAGCTCAAATTAGCGGAAATGTTCGATTTTTGCCATTGTTCAAGAGTAAACAAATTACACCACACATCCAATATGCCTCAGCTGGTGGGTCTAATATGCTCTCACAAATGTGCTGATATTATATATACAGTAGACTGTCGTTTAACATGGTTTTATGTGGCACGTTTTGGTCATAGCACTATTGAAGAATTGCGGCATATTTTTGTATAAAACTTCGTAAAATTAACTTAAAATGGTTCAATTTGCAGGAGAAAAAATTTGGAGTGTGTGTCCACCCCAGACACTCCCGCCATCCCAGCATTCATTCGTACGTGTCCAGTTCCACTGTGTTAGGAACTGGCTATGTTTGTGAATAATGTTTTGATCTTTTAATTGCCATATCTTGTATCTGCCAAGCAATCATGGCACCCAGTAGCCGTACCAGTGTTGCTGAATGTGGCAAGAAATGTTTTAAGCGTTTAAGTCTTAAAGGGATCCCTCCACACACTGATAAGGTCTCTCACACAGTGTTGCAGGCACTGATGTGAAGAGTCAGGCGGGTAGGCAGGCAGGCGGGTAGACAGGCAGGCGTGCAGGCAGGCGGGCAGACAGGCGGGCAGGCAGGTGGGCAGGCAGGTGGGCCCCCTTAAGGGTTAACCAAGAAAATAGAAATATTAGACAAGAGATAGCCTGAGGCCTTAATGAAGGGTCAATATGTACAATTGAAGAGAATGAGGTAAATATATATGAGTTTGTGTGATGAATAACTGACTGACTTGACTGGCTGACTTGACTAATTGACTTGACTGATGAACTGACTGCCTCACTGATTGACTGGCTTACTTGACTGACTGACTTGATTGATTTACTGACTTGACTGATTTACTGACTGACTTGACCAACTGACTTCACTTACTGACTGACTTGACTTACTGACTGACTTGACTGATTTAAAGTTAGACTTTTTCACTGAGGAGGACCCTGACAAATCTAGAAGCAGTGCCCTGAAACATTTTCTGTTGCAGCTGATACCTTATCGTCAGTTGTATAATGTACTACAGGGTAAAATAGCCCAGAGATCCAGCACAACCATCGACTTCAGTACCAGAACCTCTACCATCCACCTCAGCCCAGTAAGGCCACAGCATAACTCTCCGCTCTCTTCACAATCATCCACAAACACCGCCACCCACAATTTAAGGTAAGAAATATGTACTATTATTTCTGTTGTATTTGTAGTCTTAAGCAGTAAAAACATAATATATCACGACAATGAACTACGATTATATATTCGCTTTTAGTTTTGTAAGATCTCCTGGTCTTCAAAAAAAGTCGTTTGACTTTTTGGGGCTCCCAGGAAAGTAACCCTATTTTTCCCATAAGTTTTTCAATTTGTCTAACACGGTTTGAACTACCATGGTTTTTCAGGAATGTAACTACTGTGTTAAACGATGGTTTGCTGTACCATTTTTACAATAGTGCGGTAGTCTGCATTACAGTAAATCTTCTATTTTTTGCATGAATAAAAATTCATACTGGAAAGCAAACGTAATATAAGAGAGGCCAAGAGATGTGACTTATAAACAGAGAAAAATGTTATTTTAGAGCTAGGAATGTCTGTGTTGTTTATTCTGGCCTCTGTTTTGAAACTGGCCATACTTGAATTGTGTATGAAATTCGCCAAATTACCAATTTCTGATCACTTTATTGGGTAGTTAAAATCATTAAATGAGTGGTTTATTGTGACTCTGTCGATAGAACAAATGGAGTTCTAGTGAAATAGCTGTGAGTTTAGACAACTGGAACAATGGAATTGGCCAAAAATAGGGCTCAGAGTGAGCAAAATCAGTGATGCGTAAATATCGCCAAGAGCGCTAACTTCGCGAGAGTATAATTCTGGTAGTTTTCCATCAGATTTCATCCTTTTGGTGTCATGACAATCAGGAAAAGATTCTCTATCATTTCATAAGAAAAAATAATTTTTATTATCTTTTTAAATTCTTCGACACTGAGAGCAAGTTTGTGAGCAGGGTCTTGACAGTGAAAGGGTTAGAGGGGTTTGGGATATTGGCTGTTTGGATTGACATGTAAACTGTTGTATCTGTGCGCCTCTGCAGAGACAGTGATTATGTATGAATGATGGTGATAGTGTGGAACAATGACGAGAGTTTTTTCCTTTTTTTTTTTTTTTTTTTTTTTGTTTTCTTTCTTTTTGGGTCACCCTCCATCGGTGGGAAATGGCTGGCTTGTTGAAATAAATACAGCCTCTCCTCACTTACCAATGTACATACTTGTTTATCGACAACTCAGAGTTACGAAGGACCCTCCCCGATGAGTCAGTAATGTATGCTGTATGAGAACTTCGGTCAT